ATACTCGTAATGATTGCAAAATAACACTCATAGAAACACAAAATAAATATTTTTTGCAATTAATAAGAAGTCGAATAAATATTTGTGGACTTGCGACTTCACAGTACGAAAGTACACAACGCTATGGAGATCAAAGATGGCTGCGCTCCCTTTATACTTGCTGGCAGCACCTAGCGGCTAAAGATGGAACTAAATTGACGGTCTATGGTTGGACATAGACAAGGAATCTAAGCTAAGTACACACTGCCTCTTCATAATACAATGCTGTATGTTTTCCAAAGGCACATCAATAAAAGGTTTGTTTTTCATTTGATTTTTGTTTTTTTATTCTTAGTTGTACCAGTCGAGATTTTCATGTTGGTTCTGTTTTTTTTCTTTTTCTCAGTGTTTGATTTTAATTATGCATGAAGCTTATGTAACTTTTCATTTTTATCCACGATTATCGGTGTGATGTTAAAACTAAAATAAACGAAATTAAAATAAAGATACTAATTCCAACTCCTGGAATTATAAAACATTGAAGTTTAATTCGACTATGTTTACTATAGTTCAGTTCTACAATTTGTACTCTGATTTTAAATAAAATACATATGTTATATTATTATTGAGAATTTGGAAATTTCGGCATAATTTTTTGCACGCTATATTATATACCTACCTTTTTTTTTTTCTTTTTTTCATTTTCGGGCCGAGGGCCGAACCTCCTACGAGGTCCCCGCGCCTAGGGGGCGCGCGGGGTATGTGAGACTCAACGATCTGCAGGTGTTGAGAGCAGACCGCGGGCCCAAGGAATTTAGGGCCCACCCACTAAATCAAATCAAATCAAATCAAAAAATTTTTATTCAACATAAATGAAAGTACATACTTGTTGAACGTCAAAAGAACTACCGCCAATTCACAAGAACTAGCCTCCGTCCTGAGAAGAATTGGCAAGAAACTCAGCGGGCATGTTTTTTTTTTTTTTTTAATAAGAAATTATTATTTATTAATTTTTTAATATTACATTTTTTTTTTAATATGAGTTTTTTACAATGAGTTTTATAACGTAACAATTACTACAATATTGAAATGCCCGGAGCGAGCAACTCATTCCCACTTTGTGCAATCTTCTAGATAATCATTGACTTTATAGTAAGCTTTATTGCACAGATGTTCTTTAACAGTTTTCTTAAACCTATGTGTATGTAGGTTCTGAACATCTTGTAGGATTTTGTTGTACAGGCGAACGACTCCCCTGCACTCTTACACTAGCAGAACAAACATTTCTCAACATGAAATACCCATATACATCTATGTTTATTGTCTATAAACCTCGAAATTAAGTTTTTAGCACCTATTAAGAAGGCTACCTGGTACATATTCTTAAAATCCTTTCCTAATAATACTCACCCCTTACCATTATTCAACTTGGAAAAAAAAATTTTGAATCCACAAAACGGACAATCTTACCTGAACTAGCAATGGCCATGGAACATGAGACTCGATTGTTATCACAAAACTCGCAGCTTATGCTTATATAATATAGTTCATTTTGTCTCGGTCAAGTTTGTGTGAAAGAGAAAAACTTATAGTTGTCCTGAGTGCGACTCTTTCGGTTCACAATTATTGGGTGGTTAAGGCGCAGTAGTTGAACGCGGCAAACTGCCTGTCGTCGAGAAGACAGCGACAGCGTCGGACCGTTCGCAACCGGCCGAATTATAAACCACGTGGCCGGCTTCTAAACCTCAAAAAGTAAGTACTTTATAAATAAATAAATGAAATCGTATCGCTATTTAACTATAAGATGCAAATAAGACTCAAAATTTCGATATTAAATTATGACAGTAAAGACTGATATTTGAATCGTAATGAATTCTTAAGTTTGTTGGTGAAACTTTTGAATGTTTTCAATAAAATCTGAACCTGTTCAGGTTGTGCTTTATAAGATTTATATTTTATTACATAAAAAAATGAAGTGTTTAGCTCATGTAAAACTAAATAGATGTTCTAACAAAGCGAACAAAGCGAAAATATACAAAAAAATTGTGTTTGTAAATAAATTTTTGTTTATTTCATTTGAGGAAACATTCATAAGTTTCGAAATGAAAAAATAATATTATTATTAAGTAATTTAAAAGTCATTATCAAAATAATAACTAGGTAAGTATATGAATTTTCTCAAAATTCAATGAATTTCTACATACCATAGATCATATTTTAAACTAAAAACTCAATCGAAGGAATGCTCCCAATTCTAAACAATATTCAATATTTACACTGATATAAAGCATAGCACTTCCGAATTTTTATGAGGTCATATTAATATCTGTTCATTGACCTGTTTTGATTGGGTAAACCGTTAACAAAATAAACAATCGTAACAGACTGTTATGCGATATCTGTGGTTTCAAATGAATTTTATTAAGGAAAGTGTAGGTCCGTGTTTGAATTACATGCCTAGAAAACTTACACGGGTTTCGTACTTAGGTTGCACTTCATATCCAAATGAGTTTTCCAATCCAATTACTCTAAAATGAGTGTTGTTCCGATAAATCTGAAATAGCATAACATTTTAATAAATCTGAAAGGCAGTCTGGCTCACGACCGATGTAGCGTGTGTAGGGTTCACCGGATCTCATATTATACATATAACAACAAGAAGGTATTAAGTTTTAATTAGAAATAAGTGAAAAATACTTGTTCATCTATAATATTTATACTATTCGAATACTGCTCATTATACTTTCAAATTCACAACGATTTAAGAACGTTGTTTAATTTTGAAGCGGTTATGGAATAGCCACTATACAAAACTAAACTTGTATCTTGTCCGGGATAAATGGCAACGTCTATTGTCGGAGGCCAAGACCCACTTTGACGAGACTCTGACCGGTGCCTGTGATACCTAAAAGCACAGTTAATGGATCGGGAGGATCCGTAATGACTTGTTTTGGGCGACATCGACTATTTACCATTCGGTCTACAGGATCGGGTATGTAATTCCCAGCGGCCACGACAAGAGGGTTTTCATGTCGTGTCGCCTTTTCAAAATGGCGCAATGATGCCGACTGTAGATACTTACTGACTGAGTCAAGCTCCAGGTCATCATGGAGATCCACGTTCCTTAGGAACCATGGTCCACTCCGCTTAATACCGCTAATCTCAGGGTGGGCCTTAAGTTTGTTCACCCATTTGAGTAAATAAAAAACAATAACAAACCATAGATTAGAGGATCTTAAAGTTACTGCTACTCTTACTCTATGGTCTGTGCGTAGTAATACCATCAACAGTATGTTGTCCTAAACCTAACCCCTTTATTTATCTCTCGATTATTGACGGTAGTTAGTACTGCAATCCCTTACTGGTTCGTAAGACGTGGTACTACCGTTCTATTTCTGCGCTAAGAAATTTAACCAATGTTATATTATTATGGGTAGTATTTAATCCTACAACTGTAAATGCAATTTTTTCTATTCAAATATTGGAAATTACCACCAAAAATACTGAATTGCACACTAAATTTACTTATCAAATAAATCAAATCTAATATACTGTTTGATCTATAAAGCTAAACTGTTTTACTAAATTACTATTTGTTATCTAAAAGTAAAACTGATAATTCTGTGTGTGCAACAAAATATTTAAATCTATTTGTTTTATTAAACTGTTAAGAACATGAGTTATTCTAAATGAAACACCGGTTAATCAGTCATGTTTATCTAATTAAAGTGCACAAAAAATCAACTAAGTGCAATCTTAATATACACTAACAATTCCAAAACAGTAACGCAAATCAGTTTTTTTTAACTAATCAATCTTTGTTATTACAACATAAAAAAATCTCCTTATTGTATGATTAGGGCAGGTTTTTTATTTTTTATTTATATTGCCTTTTTAGGCAGACAAGCATACGGCCCACCTGATCGTAAGTGGTCACCGTGGCTCGTGGACGTCAGCAATGCCAGGGGCAGAGCCAAGCCGCTGCCTATCATTAAATACTCTCCGTAGGCCCTGCTTTCGCCCGGTGGATACCGCCGCCGGGTACCGTTCCAACGTGTTGCTGGATGAGGTGGGCAAGCTGCTGCAACGCATTCTGGCGGCCGGCATCATCCAGCATCTGGTCGGGGTGGGACCCGATCTGATAGCGGAGCAGTATAGCTTCCGAGAGGGCCACTCAACGGTAGACGCGATCCTTCGCGTGCGGGCCCTGTCGTAGGAGGCCGTGGTTGGAGGCGTCTATTGGGGTCGGGGTGCAGTTGAAGTACCTCGGCCTCATTCTGGACAGCCGTTGGACTTTCCATGCTCACTTTCAGATCCTGGACCCTCGTTTGTTGGAGGTGGCCGGCGCGTCAAGCCGGCTTCTGCCCAATATCGGGGGGCCTGACCAGGTGACGCGCCGTCTGTATACAAGGGTGGGGCGATCAATGACCCTATACGGGGCGCCCGTGTGGGGCCAGTCCCTGGCCGTGGGGGTAGGGAATTTGCTGCAACAGCCGCAACGCATCATCGCGGTCAGGGTCATTCGAACCATCTCTTTCGAGGCGGCGTGGGTACTGGCTGGGACGCCGTCTTGGGTCCTGAAGGCGGAGGCACTCGCCGCTGACTATCAGTGGCGGGCTGACCTTCGTGTCCGGGGCGTGGCGCGTTCCAGACCCACTGTGGTCAGAGCGCGGAGGGCTCAATCTCGGCGGTCCGTGCTAGAGTCATGGTCCAGGCGGCTGGCCGATCCTTCAGCTGGTCTTAGGGCCGTCGAGGCAATAGGGGAAATTTTTAATTGCTCCTCTATTTAAAAATCAAGCAAACTAAATCTCCCGACTAATAATCCACTGTATATCAGATAAATGACTGCGTAACAGATTAACTACTTGATTACCAAACATATTTTATTAAAACACTGTCGACCCGCCTTCGCTTCGCTTCGGAAACATTAAAACACACATGAAACCAAAAAAAATAAATAAATAAAAAATAATAAAAAGTAGCCTATGTTCATCAGGGACAATGTCGGCTTCTAATGGAAAAAGAATTTTTCAAATCGGTCCAGTAGGTTCGGAGCCTATTCGAAACAAACAAACAAATCTTTCCTCTTTATAATATTATTAGTATTAGTATTAGTATAGACGTATAAAATAAACCAAATTAAGATGACCTTTTTAATTGAATTTACAACAAAAATCTAGCTGAAACCACTAATATACAGATTATAAGACAAAATTACTCACCGTATAATAAAAATACTGATTTGCACACTAAATTAATCATCTTACAACGGAATTTCCAAAATCATTTTCTAAAACTGTATAACAGATAATGTATGTTTACATTATCAAATTACATTCCACGAATTTATTACTTGTATAGCTAAACGACTGGGTGAAACGTGACATAGGACCCCTCATTATCCAGCTCATGCTGGTGCTCACTAGGCATGGTTGCTTTGGTGAGTTCCTGCACCGGATCGGAGCCGAGCCGACGGCAGAGTCCCACCGTTGTGCTTGCGATTTGGACATGGTGGAGCACACGCTCGTCGTCTGCCCCGCATGGGAGGGGTGGCGCCGTGACCTCGTCGCAAAAATAGGAAACTACTTATCGTTGCGGAGTGTTGTGGTATCGATGCTCGCCGGCGACGAGTCGTGTAAGGCGATTCTCGACTTCTGCGAGTGCGCCATCTCGCAGAAGGAGGCGCTGGGGCGCGCGAGAGACGCACAAGCCGTCGAGCGGTGGCCAGAGAGGCGGATCTCGCCTAAGTCCTGGCCTTCTAAGTGTTTTTTTTATTTTTTATTGCTTAGATGGTTGGACGAGCTCACAGCCCACCTGGTGTTAAGTGGTTACTGGAGCCCATAGACATCCACAACGTAAATGCGCCACCCACCTTGAGATATAAGTTCTAAGGTCTCAAGTATAGTTAAAACGACTGCCCCACCCTTCCAACCGAAACGCATTACTGCTTCACAGCAGAAATAGGCAGGGTGGTGGTACCCAACCACGCGGACGAAGTCGAGTCCTATATAACCTATTCTAACCGGCACCATCTAGGCGGGCTTCGGATGGCCTGCCGACCGAGAGTATGTTTCACACATCAATATCCTGTAATAAAGTCTTCTTTTTTTTTTTGCTTACAATTTTTTCTACATTGATCATAAATATTTTTTTGCATGAGCCCTCCTCACGACATGAGTCCAGCACATTTTTACAGTAGATTCTTCTCCAAATATTTCTTTAAATACATTTCTTACGCTCATAGGCGCGTCGCAAATTAATGCTTTTGGTTGTAAAGAGTTTGGGAGAAAGCGCTGTTGCGAAGAGCTTTAAACAACATTTAGAAATCTTGTATTCGTTCAGAAATTCAAAAGAACGAAAGAAATTCAGAAGAACAAAAAGAAATAAAGTTGGGTGATGGGGATTTTAGCTATACAAGTAGTAAATTCGTGGAATGTAATTTGATAATGTAAACATACATTATCTGTTATACAGTTTTAGAAAATGATTTTGGAAATTCCGTTGTAAGATGATTAATTTAGTGTGCAAATCAGTATTTTTGTTATACGGTGAGTAATTTTGTCTTATAATCTGTATATTAGTGGTTTCAGCTAGATTTTTGTTGTAAATTAAATTAAAAAGGTCATCTTTATTTGGTTTTTTTTATACGTGTTTTAATAAAATATGTTTGGTAATCAAGTAGTTAATCTGTTACGCAGTCATTTATCTGATATACAGTGGATTATTAGTCGGGAGATTTAGTTTGCTTGAATTTTAAATAGAGGAGCAATTAAAAATTCCCCTATTATTATTATTATCCAGTACTCTCAGAACAAGCTCTGCTCGCCTATGAGAAATAAAGTATGCATATTTCGTTAGGATTGAGTTTACAGTAAGTTAGGTATTAGAGATAAAATTACTAACTTTAATTACTATGCTGTTATTATTATGACCATATTTATTGAAAGTCCGCTTATGTCGTGCTTTTGTCATTTAAATGCATTGCATTAAAAAAAACGTAATATTAAAATTGATCATTAGATACTTGTTGTGCGTATGGAGTTAAGATAGACCCCACATTTTGATCGTGATAATTTATTTTTAAATGAATTTCCTGATAAAATTTTAGAATGGAAAATGATGATTTGAGCTGCGACTTAGGCCCGCTGTGTTGCCTTATGCTGGAGGATGGAACTATACTTCATGGTAGGAGCTTTGGTGCTCAAGTGCCCGTTGAAGGCGAAGTTGGTAAGAAATTACAGTAAAGTGGATTAAGGAGTTAGACATTGATCTCTGAAATATTTATAAAACACAATTGCATTTAGGAGCAAAGTTCCTCAAAACAGTCTGTGGTAGAAGTTGAATGGTAAAAATCGTTATGTCCCCTTTATGAGATTTTCGGTCTCTCCCCTTGTCTCTCTTCCTCTCCCTCTCCCTCTCACTCTCTAGAGTGTGTATATTATTGCGAGTTTCGTTAATAAACTTTATATTTTATTTAAATTTTTTTAAATAATTATAATTGACTATTTAATATCAAGTTCTGAAACAGGAATACTTATCTTAAAATATTAAATGTTTGTTTTTCGATTAATAAATACATATTACATTTGTATAGGAACTTCATTTATGAAGGTCCCCGATTGCGCACCTTTGGTTTTTACTATCAAATTTGATGTACAATTTAATAAATAAATATTTCACAATATGGTTTTTACAGTTAAATTTTATCATTTAACCACAATGACCCATGACGAAGTTTCAATATCATATTCATAAAATTGCGTAACTACTGCTGCGGATACGTTTCGGTCCCACCATCGCTGCATCGTTGCCTAAATTTTATAAAGGCATTGATCTGAAATGTAAGATAGAAATAAAATAAAGGGAATAATTAGGGCTCAGGGATAATTCGTACACTGTGATTAATAAGATCGACAGTCTATCTCTACTTTAAAAAAATACTCTCTATTGTATTTTATTTATTTCATCGCCAATTACATTTCAGTTTTTCAAACGGGCATGGTAGGATATCCGGAATCCCTGACAGATCCGTCGTACCACGCACAACTACTGGTGTTAACTTATCCTCTCATTGGAAACTATGGAGTTCCGGATGAGAACGACCGAGACGAACACGGTATTAGCAGGTAAAAATATATTGAATTATATCGAGGGGTGACAGGCTATTTGATTTAAGCGATATTTCACTTAATACGCGACATTTATCTTTGTAAATAAAGGTCTTACTGGTGGTAGGACCTCTTGTGAGTGCACACGGGTAGGTACCACCACCCCGCCTATTTCTGCCGTGAAACAGTAATGCGTTTCGGCTTGAAGGGTGGGGCAGCAGTTGTAACTATACTGAGACCTTAGAACTTATATCTCAAGGTGGGTGGCGCATTTACGTTGTAGATGTCAATGGGCTCCAGTAACCACTTAACACAAGGTTGGCTGTGAACTCGTCCACCCAGTTAAGAAAAAAAAGTATGGTCCGTTTTATTTGGTATTAGTATCAGCAATTCGATGTTTCTAGTTGAACTTCAATTGTGTTTAACTCATTCAAATAGCCGAAGAAGTTTTTTGTCATGATCTATTTTCTAAAATTTTAAACTTTAAATGGCTTTTCTGTAAGGTTGCAAAAATGTCGCTTTAACACTAATGAATATATACAATTAATTAAGTAGTTATTGTTACACGTCGGCAGTATCGGTTTGAAGTGCAGAAAAAAAAACAATAAATAATAGTTTAAAAAAACTAACAAAATACGCTTTTATAGAAAATCCAACTAAAAATTGAAAATAAATTTTAATAAATTTGAATTAAAAATAGTGCAAGAAAAAATGATTTTTCTGTAAAAAAGCGTGGTCCTTAATAAGTATACCAAATTTCGAGTTAATCCGACGTTTTGAAGGGGGTCAAAATCATTTTCAAAGATTCCGTTACAAACATACATACGTCTGAAGCTAATAAAAGCGTATTAAAAATAACTTTTCTAGGGAACTGCAATTTAAAGGATTAAAATTTTCCATATTCTTAACTTTAATAGAATTTTTTTAGTTTCCTTATCGATAAGAACACTTTACATATTCAGTTTGATGTGTTTGATTATTTAGAACATTGTACATTTTGATACTTACACAAAGTGATGATTTTGGACATTGTATTTCAGATCTAATCATATCAATTGTCTTTTTGTTATCAACATTAGAGATAAATAGGACGTCGAAGAGTACTAAAATTGAAAGAGCGACTAAACTTCGTTCGATTATATATACAATAAGATACATTTATGACGGTGCATTCAATGCCGGCAATTGCAATTTGCTTTTAGTGTTATGTGTGATATAATTAAACCATAGAATTCTCATAGCAAAATTATTTTCACATAGCAAATTTATATTCATAAATATATTCTTTTTTAATCGATAAGGACACCGCGATTAATTTCTTTCGTGAAGTAATTCTTGTCCACCGAATGGTTATGTGAAAGAGATCGCTCTTAGCGATAAAACCGCCCGTTGTACTTTTGTATTTAATGTTTTGCGTTTGTGTTTCTTTTGGTGCACAATAAAGCATATTCTATATAATACTATATATATAACACTATATAAGTACTGTGTAAATGTATCATGCGTTGTGAACGAAACAAAAAGTATGAGAATTATAGGATTTGATTTCGTAATTAAAAATAATAACACAAAAAATTATTAGATGATCGTTTTAATTGAATTAACGTTGTTTATTACAGTAATTCTAGTACTACATGGTTTTATAATCGATGTCCAATTGCGTGCTCTGTATACAATTTTCAAACAATTTTTTTTTTGTAGGTGGTTTGAATCCGACCGTATTTGGGCAGCTGGTTTGATAGTGGGGGAAGTCAGCAAACGTGCTTATCATTGGCGTGCCAAATGTTCCATAGGAGCATGGCTAGCCCAGCATCGGGTCCCTGGTATATGTGACATTGATACACGCGCTCTAACTTGCCGTCTCAGAGAAGGTATAACTCTCGGGAAAATCATACAAGGCTTACCGCCGTCTACTCCACTTCCACCGCTCACAGATCCGAACTTACGAAACTTAGTTGCCGAAGTGTCTATAAAGGTAATTTACTAGTCTAGTTAAACAAGAATTAACTTCCTTATTCGTGGCTTGCAGAGATTTTTTCCCTACCTAATCGTTGTTATCCTAAGGGGCTATTCCAAATACACGCGGACCTGTAGGTGAGCTCACGGGCTCAACCTAAGAGAATTGCTAATACTCACTCACCCTAGCAAGAGGAGTGCTTCACTGAATCCACCATCGGACCGAAATCGAAGCATTCAGATGAATCCAGCGAGAAACTCAGTGGGTCTTGCGGAGAGTACTTAGCGGTAGGCAGTGTATTTGCTATGCCCCTGGCATAGCCGATGAAACCACTTACCGTCAGGTGGGCCGTCTGCTCGTCTGCCTACAAGGACAATAAAAAAATAGATTGTCAGCTCGTACACCCATTTAAAGAATAACAAAAAAGGTCATGGTACTTTTGCAAAGGTCACCCGTTACTGATTACGAGTATTATTATAAAAACAAATTATATGTTAATCAAAATTGTTAACATGCCATTCACCGATAAAGAATCAAATTTTTGTGAAACCTGTGAATTCTGATTGTGGGAATCGTTTATCAGTTAGATTAAAACCGTTTGAAGGGAAACCATTTTTCGCATAACAACAACTGAACCGTTTTCCATTATGCCAAAGAACATAACATAAAACTGACTTCAAATAAAACCAGTATAATTATGATGATTGTCAGAGTGACGACAGACAGACTATAATCTACGCGTGTACACGTATGTGTCCAGCTCGTAGTGTCCAGCACAATCCTTGATGTGTGTGTGGGAATGTTCTGTAATAATTTATATTGAATTTTATGTTATTTTCAGCAACCACGAGTTTTTAATAAAAATGGAGAGATAACAATTTTGGCAATCGACTGCGGTTCAAAATACAATCAAATTAGATGTTTTATCAAAAGGAACGCGAAAATCGTTCTAGTACCGTGGGACTACAAGCCCAACCCAAATGAATACGATGGCTTGTTCATAAGCAACGGGCCAGGCGATCCGGAAATTTGCAAAAAAGTTGTAGAAAACTTACAATTTGTTATGAAAAATCAAAATATTGTAAAACCTATTTTTGGTATTTGTCTAGGACATCAACTATTATCTACCGCAGCAGGGTGCAAAACTTACAAGACCAAGTGAGTCATTAGATTAATTTTCAATATCAAATCAATAATAATACTAAACCTAAAACTTACATTTAATTTATATAATTCTTTTGTAGATATGGCAACCGTGGTCATAACTTGCCGTGTACTCACAGTTCCACTGGCAGATGTTTCATGACTTCGCAGAACCATGGCTACGCCGTCGATGCCGATTCTTTGCCTGAAGGATGGAAAGTTTTGTTCACCAATGAAAATGACAAGACTAACGAAGGAATCATTCACAAGTCTGCGCCTTATTTCAGTGTTCAATTTCATCCTGAACACACTGCGGGCCCTACGGATTTAGAGTTTTTGTTTGACATTTTTGTTGATGCAGTTAAAAGTTATAAAAATAACGTAAATTGTGTTATAGATGAAATGATAAATGAAAAATTGAAATTTATTCCAACAATTCACGATAGACCGAAAAAAGTATTAATCCTAGGCTCCGGAGGCTTATCAATAGGACAANGCGTTCAATTTCATCCTGAACACACTGCGGGCCCTACGGATTTAGAGTTTTTGTTTGACATTTTTGTTGATGCAGTTAAAAGTTATAAAAATAACGTAAATTGTGTTATAGATGAAATGATAAATGAAAAATTGAAATTTATTCCAACAATTCACGATAGACCGAAAAAAGTATTAATCCTAGGCTCCGGAGGCTTATCAATAGGACAAGCCGGAGAGTTCGATTATTCAGGTTCGCAAGGCGTGAAGGCTATGCAAGAAGAAAAAATTCTAACAGTTCTTATAAATCCTAACATTGCCACTGTACAAACTTCTAAAGGTTTGGCGGATAAAGTTTACTTTTTACCTATAACTCCTGAATATGTAGAACAAGTCATAAAAGCAGAAAGACCAACGGGGATTTTGCTCACTTTTGGCGGACAAACTGCACTAAATTGCGGAGTGGAACTACAAAAATCTAAAATATTTGAAAAATATAATGTCAGCGTTTTAGGCACACCCATTCAGTCGATAGTTGATACTGAAGATAGGAAGATATTTGCAGAGAAAATCAATGCGATAGGAGAAAAAGTGGCACCAAGTGCAGCAGTAACATCAGTCGAAGAAGCACTCGAAGCAGCTCTGCAAATCGGGTATCCGGTGATGGCTCGCTCAGCCTTTTCCTTGGGAGGATTAGGCTCTGGTTTTGCGAACAATGAAGATGAACTCAAAACATTAGCTCACCAAGCTCTTTCACATTCCGATCAACTCGTTATTGACAAATCTTTGAAGGGGTGGAAAGAAGTTGAATACGAAGTCGTAAGAGACGCTTATGATAACTGCATAACTGTTTGTAATATGGAAAACGTTGACCCATTAGGTATACACACTGGAGAATCTATAGTAGTAGCGCCAAGTCAAACTTTGTCTAATAGAGAGTATTATATGCTTCGAAATACGGCTATAAAAGTTATACGACATTTTGGTATAGTCGGCGAATGTAATATACAATACGCTTTAAACCCGAATTCTGAAGAATTTTACATTATTGAAGTAAATGCAAGACTTTCGAGGAGCTCAGCATTAGCCAGTAAAGCAACAGGTTATCCATTAGCATATGTGGCTGCAAAATTAGCTCTCGGAATATCCTTGCCTGTTATCAAAAATTCGGTTACTGGAGTAACCACAGCCTGTTTTGAACCAAGTTTGGACTACTGTGTTGTTAAAATCCCAAGATGGGACCTCGCCAAATTTAACAAAGTGAGTACGAAAATTGGAAGCTCTATGAAAAGTGTTGGGGAAGTCATGTCTATCGGCAGGACTTTCGAAGAAGCATTCCAAAAAGCTTTGCGGATGGTTGACGAGAATGTAAATGGTTTTGATCCGAACATCAAAAAAGTAAACGAAAATGAGTTAAAGGAACCAACAGATAAACGTATGTTTGTGTTGGCTGCAGCCTTAAAGAACGGATTTAGTGTTGAAAAGTTGTATGAGTTGACTAAAATAGACAAATGGTTCTTAGAAAAGTTTAAGAACATTATTGACTATTACAAAACTCTTGAAAAATTAGATTCTGGAACAATTACATCTGACATTTTAAAGCAAGCTAAAAAAATGGGATTCTCTGATAAACAAATTGCTTCTGCAATAAAGAGTACTGAAGTAGCGATCCGTAAATTAAGAGAAGAATTCAAAATAACACCATTTGTTAAACAAATAGATACAGTTGCTGCGGAGTGGCCAGCTACTACCAACTATTTGTATTTAACCTACAATGGAAGCACACATGACATTGAATTTCCGGGAGAATTCGTTATGGTTTTAGGTTCAGGGGTGTATAGAATAGGAAGTTCGGTAGAGTTCGATTGGTGTGCCGTAGGATGTCTCAGGGAATTAAGAAATCAAGGTAAAAAAACAATAATGATAAATTACAATCCTGAAACAGTTAGTACTGATTATGACATGAGCGATCGTCTCTATTTTGAGGAAATATCATTTGAAGTTGTAATGGATATTTATGATATTGAAAGACCTAGTGGTGTAATATTGTCTATGGGGGGACAGCTACCAAATAATATTGCTATGGACCTTCATAGGCAACAAGCAAAAATATTAGGTACATCGCCGGACATGATTGATGGCGCTGAAAACAGGTTTAAATTTTCGAGAATGTTAGACCGGAAAGGTATTATGCAACCAAGGTGGAAAGAACTTACGGATTTAGAATCGGCTATTGGATTTTGTGAGGAAGTGGGATACCCATGCTTAGTGCGTCCATCGTACGTTTTAAGCGGTGCTGCAATGAATGTGGCTAATTCTCATCAAGAGTTAGAAACATATTTGAAATCTGCAAGTCAGTTAAGTAAAGAACATCCAGTAGTAATTTCTAAATTCATTATGGATGCAAAAGAAATAGACGTAGACGTTGTAGCAGCTGATGGAATAATTTATTGCATGGCTGTTTCCGAACATGTTGAAAACGCCGGTGTGCACTCTGGAGACGCAACCCTAGTAACCCCGCCACAGGATATTAACAACGAAACTTTAGAAAAGATAAAAGAAATATCTGGAATCATAGCTGAAACTTTAGACGTAACTGGTCCATTTAATATGCAACTGATAGCAAAAGATAATGACCTAAAAGTTATCGAATGCAACGTTAGGGTATCGAGATCTTTTCCATTTGTGTCTAAAACATTAGATCATGATTTTGTGGCAATGGCCACTAAAATTATTCTGGGACTACCAGTTGAACCGGCTAATGTGATGGCGGGATGTGGAAAGGTTGGAGTAAAAGTTCCACAATTTTCATTTTCAAGACTGGCCGGTGCAGACGTTACATTAGGTGTGGAAATGGCATCTACTGGAGAAGTTGCATGTTTTGGAGAAAATCGATACGAGGCATACTTAAAATCGTTAATGAGTACAGGCTTCAGGATTCCAAAAAAAGCTATTTTATTGTCTATAGGAACATTCAAGGTACATAAAGCTTATAATATACAAAAACTATTGTTATCCTAACCACTTAACACACTACTAATGGCAATTATTTTCCTTAACAGCATAAAATGGAATTATTGCCGAGCGTTCGATCGTTACAAAAAATGGGATATAAACTTTACGCTAGTATGGGTACTGGTGATTTTTATACAGAGCATGGAATCGAGGTAATTGGGATTATCAATCGTTCATATTTATTTTGTACAAGACTTCCTATTATACTTACATTTCTCATTATTATTTTCAGATAGAGAGTGTCCAGTGGACATTTGAGCACATAGGAGATCCAGAAGATGATAGGTTTGACGGCGAACTAATGCACTTAGCCGATTTTATGGCTCGCCGACAATTAGATTTGGTGATCAATTTACCGATGCGAGGTGGTGCCCGTCGTGTTTCTTCATTTACTACGCACGGATACCGGACCCGGCGGCTCGCTGTTGATTATGCAGTACCTCTAGTGACCGATGTCAAATGCGCCAAGCTCTTAGTGCAGGTTCGTTTGCTTAAAATATTTTGCTAACATTTGCATATTAACAAAATGTTTGTCAAAGTGTAGTTACCCAACACCGTCTAGCCTGATACCGCCTGCTAAGATTGTAATTTTAAGATATCATTCATAAATAATAACGGTAACAAAAAAGCGAAATAATTCAATTATATTTGAACAAAGATATATCCTGATCTCCAAAACAAAATAAATAACTGCTTAGTTGCAGAAATAGGCGTAGTTGTGTACAGCCAGGCTCGAAGCACTGTCTTCCAGCCTAAATAAAAATTAGAGAGAGAATTTATTAGAAAATCAATTAAGGCTAGGCGGTTTCCCATCTTTATTCTCCCGGGTTCTATCTTAGGGGGGAATTAGACGTTTGGAAGAGAGTGCAGGGCAGTCGTTTATCGGATGGTTTCGACAGTCTTGACTCGCCCGCTTCAAAAGTAAGAAATTGCAGTGATTCGGCCGCCGGCTAGAACAACGGCTAATATTCCTACCACGAACAGAAGATTCATCTAAAAGTATCGTATTATCTTCAAAACACTATTAAATTAAAAGGTTTAATTTTGCAGGCAATGTCACAATGTGGCGGTGCTCCTACAATGAAAACTCATACTGATTGTATGACGTCACGGAATATTGTCAAATTACCCGGCTTCATTGATGTACATGTTCACGTCCGTGAACCCGGTGCAACATATAAGGAAGATTTTGAGACCTGTACCGCAGCCGCATTGGCTGGTGGTGTAACGATGATTTGTGCTATGCCCAACACTAACCCCTCAATCGTTGATCGTACAGCATTTGATTACGCTTCAACATTAGCAAGAGTTAGTGCCCGATGCGATTATGCTTTGTACGTCGGTGCTTCCTCGACAAATTATGACACAATATGTGAACTGGCTCCGCAAGCTGCAGCTCTAAAGATGTACTTAAATGAAACTTTTACAACTCTTCTGTTAGAGGATATGACAATTTGGCAGAAACATTTCCAAAGTTGGCCCAAAAAAATGCCTGTTTGTACTCATGCAGAGCGTGAGAAAACCGCCGCTGTCATTTTAATGGCATCTCTCCTTGATCGGCCTGTACACATTTGTCACGTAGCACGAAAAGAAGAAATATTAATTATCAAAGCCGCAAAAGAAAGAGGTGTTAAAGTTACTTGTGAAGTTTGCCCACATCACTTATTTTTGAATAGTAATGACATTGACAAAATTGGAAAAGGGCGAGCAAAAGTATGTCCAGTATTATGTAGTCCTGAAGACCAAGCAGAACTTTGGCGAAATATAAGTATCATTGATGTTTTTGCCACAGACCATGCACCTCATACTGTGGAAGAAAAGAATTCTGAGAATCCACCACCTGGCTACCCTGGCTTAGAAACAATATTGCCTTTGCTACTCAACGCTGTACATCAAGGTCGTTTGACTATTGAAGATCTTATTAATAAATTTCATCGTAATCCTCGTAAAATTTTTAACTTACCAGAACAGCCTAACACATATGTTGAAGTTGATTTGGATTATGAATGGGTAATTCCAACGTCAATGGAATTTTCTAAATCGAAATGGACTCCTTTCGCGGGCATGAAGGTATGTGGTGCTATTCATCGTGTCACATTAAGAGGTGAAATAGCATATGTCGAAGGTCAAATTTTGGTTCCTCCAGGATTCGGTCAAAATGTTCGCGAATGGCCAATGCCTAAAAAACAAACTTTCCAGACGTACTCGATTGAAAAAGTTGAAAAAGAAATAAGTCGTCCTAATTCCGCATTGGATATAATTACACCTGGGGACCATCTAAGACAAAGCGATATTGACCTAGATCAATTGGAGTCTTCAAGATCAGAAGCTGTTGGAAGACTAAACGTGCATTTTAATGAAGTGGCCGGTATGCGAAACGTATCCCCTGTTCCACCACAAACAGTTACTAGACAAAGATGTGATAGCTCATCGAATTACAATCCACCACAGCCTTCAATTACACAACGACAACGCAGTGATTTGTTCGGCAAAAACATCCTGACTGTAGATACATTTAATAAGGAAACTCTCAACGACATTTTCAACCTAGCACAATTCATGAAGACAAGTGTAAATAAGGGACGTTATTTAGATGACATCTTACGTGGGAAAGTTATGGCCTCAATATTTTATGAAGTCAGTACACGTACGAGCTGCAGTTTTGCAGCGGCCATGCATAGACTAGGCGGATCTGTGGTACATACCGATGCAACAAGCTCTTCTGCAAAAAAAGGCGAATCTCTTGAAGATAGCGTCGCTATTATGGCTAGCTATTCAGATGTCGTCGTGTTGAGACATCCTGAACCCGGCGCAGTTTCTGTAAGTTTATTAAAAAAACAATTTTTCACTTTACGTTCCACTATGTTAAATTCTGAATAAACAAAATAGTAGATAAACATAATAATAATAAGTATATCGTAGTACTAGTAGTATATTTCCATCGTCTTTTTAGTTCTATTAGTTAGAAACTTGGTCCTTATTTAAAAATATAGCTCGAGATCTCCATTTGATATAAAGATTTATATAATATAAAATTACTTGCTTACAGTAGCAATCAATAAATGTCGTTGTACCTTTTGTTAATTTTGCTATGGCTAATTTACATAGCTTAGTATAGAGATGAACTTCCAAAGTATTATACAATGTCACCATAACAATGTCAAAGGCAAAGCTAGTAAAGAAAAGTATAAATTTAGCAATGGTTATAAATATTAACAAACGTCAAAGATAAAATTATTATTAAACGCATTTTCCATTTTCAGCGCGCATCGAAACTTAGTCGCAAGCCCGTAATAAATGCGGGAGACGGTGTTGGTGAACACCCCACGCAGGCATTGTTAGACGTTTTTACGATACGAGAAGAAATCGGTACAGTAAATGGCCTCACGATCACAATGGTTGGCGATCTTAAAAATGGACGCACAGTTCATTCCCTTGCTAGACTTTTAACTCTATATCAAGTCCAACTTCAATACGTAAGTCCGCCGGGACTAGGTATGCCGAAGCATATCACGGATTATGTTGCTTCTAAAGGTATACCTCAGAGAGTATACGAGCGCTTAGAGGACGTACTAGCTGATACTCACGTTTTGTACATGACTAGAATACAACGAGAAAGATTCAAAAGCCAAGAAGATTATGAAAAGGTAAAATGTGTTGAATTTTTTTTTTCTTTTCTTACCTAATCGTCGGTCGTCTTAAAAGGCTATTTATTCCAAGTACGGCTTGGTGGGTGAGGAACTTGGGATTCTCTGTTATATCAAATTCACTTAAAGCAATTGTTAAATCAACCTATTGAAACTTTAGTTTACTAACCATACATAACACGAAAAATATTTATAATAGGTAAATCATAAAATATCTACTGAAGTGAAGCAATGAATAAAAAAGAAAATGTTATCAACGATAGGTTTTGTTTCTTGACAGAATTGTGACGGCATGTGTAGAAATTCGCCATTTAAAATTGATATCGAATTTGTGTTACAGACTCGGGGACTACTGGTTGTGACCCCACAGTTGATGACCAGGGCTCGTCGTCGTATGATAGTGATGCACCCTCTACCACGTGTCGATGAAATTTCATCAGAATTTGACTCAGATCCTCGCGCAGCATACTTTAGACAGGCCGAATACGGAATGTATGTTCGTATGGCTCTACTCGCAATGGTTGCTGGTGTAAATCCACTTGTGTGAAATGATTTCATTTCAAAATGTTATTATTTGTTCTTGGACAATAAATCAAACATCTAAAATATAAAATTTTATTACATATCACAAACTATTTATTTATTATCACATTTATACTTTTTGAGTGGAAAACATAAGAGAATCCATACAATTTCAAGAACCAGTTCTTTAAGTAGATCAACAACAGAGCTCATCTAGCCTGGTTTTGAGTATTTTCTTACAAAGTTAAAGCGTCTTGAGACATGAGATCAAAACTCAATTGATCTGAACTCTATTGTATTAACGACCTTTGTATTCTATCTATTTAAACTTTATTCAGAAAAATATACTGATCCATAAACGGGAAATTAAAAACAAAAATATCATTTCTGAACAACTCTTAAGACAGAGTTGTTGTTGTAATGCCCCATTTTCAGAAAGATACACGTCGAATAAATATATCACTTTCATCTTATTCTTTCTAATCTTAACTAAAAGTAGCGTTTAAAGAAAATTATTAGAAATTAAATTTTCCAAGAATATCTTAGAGAAAGACGAAATATGTTTTAAAAATAAAATTAACATAATATTATGAGTGCCTAGCAACTAAACTATTGTAATTTTAACAATATTTTTAATAAACAAATTTAAGTCTTTATTAGGTGCTAATTCTCAAATAGTTTTATCAATACGAACAAAGAGCTACTTTACTGCAATATTTACATTTCATTATAAGACGAGATTCCAAATTAACATACATTTAATTTTATTGAAAGTAATAATTTTCTGTAATTGGTACTCTACTTATGAAATAACGAAAACTATAATCTTGATTCCTCAGCTGTGGTAATATCATTTATCCTGATATTGGGCTTGGTTTCAATGCTCGAAGTAACATCATCGTGTATATCTGCGAACGTGAACGCTGAAATACCATGATTTTCAACAGGAGAATCTTGACTAACAATTTGTTCAAATTTAGGACGATGTTTTCGTATAGGCTTATTATAGCTTCGATCCATTTTGTTTTCTTTTCGATGAGGTAATATGTAACGACCTTGCACCGCAAGTTTCCGTTGACAGTCAGATAGCTTATCTCTAATGATGTCTAAATATTCATTTGCAGTCGCATCACCAGCTGGTTCCTCTAACAGAAGCATGCAAAGTCTCTGAGCTTGTTCTAAATATATAATTGATTGTTTTACAGCTTCAAATTTTTCACTGGATCTTGCCATGGCAATAAAGTGAGGAATAAAAAACTCTAGAACTAGACGTTTGCGCTCCGTTTCCATTTTCGCTGGTAAAATGATCTGGAATCACAAAAATTAAAAAGTTTAAGCAAATCTAAATTGAAAAACACGGTACGACAATTTTAAAATTAAATCGATTTGATGATTTTAGCTTGTCAAAATTAGAAAATAGCACTTGAATTAAATTTTCAATTATACCAATCAATAAAATAAAATAAAATTTTAAAGCAATTGCTTAACTTATAATAAAAATGCATAATAGATCTGAAAATGCCCCCAAATTCAAACTATTCGAAACTCACATTAGTTTTAATTTCGTTCTGGCCAGCATTAAGCTTGCTCCTTTTGTTATTAATATGCGCCTTTCTTCTTTCTTGTATTTGTTTTTGTCTCTCTTTTTTCCACTGATAATGTTTGTCTCTAGATTTAGCATTGTCCCAGAAATTGGCTCCCGTATCTCCTTCACTATCAGAACTCTCAGTATAGTTATTAACAGTAGTAGGGATATGTGGGTTTATTAAATGTAAAGGATTTTTACATGTCAAAATTTGATAAAGTCTATGACAGTCAAATTCTGGATAAAAATCCTGATTCATATACTTCAATTTACTCAATGCCGAAAGCATATGCATCACCGGGGCCTCCAATATATCAGCTAATCGTCTTTGGAGTTTTAGCAGTAACGGTTTCGGAATACTTTTAAAATCATTACAGCTTTCGATAAAATAATTCGGAAATCTAGACTGTCCAAAATGAATATAAAAACTCCGGAGAAATAATCTTAATGATTCTCCTAATCTGTCTTCGGGCCATTTGGCGTAATTATCTTCACACTGCCAAAATAAATGGTTTTTTATATGACTGGCGTCGATTCCAATCTTAGAAGTTTCATTTTCCATGAAAGATTTGTGTAAGAGTAAAGTAAACAAGTAGCAGCGTATGTGAGAATGCGCCAAACAACTTTCTAAGTAGCGCTCAGCAGCCGGGAAGAGGATCCTCCATTGTAAAGTCTGTTCTGGGTTTGAGCCCCGTTTAGATCTGAATCCAACAGGTACCAATAAACATCCAAATCCTGTAGCTTTATTAACCATATACCTTGTTGGCCATTGATAGCTAAAGTTCGTCCTAGGATTTTGTATAGCTCTACGTAAGCGAATTATCCACGGACAAGCTGTATTTGGCCATGCAGCAATTAAGGCAGGAAAGATTTCATATCCTATATTTAAGCCGATTCTTATGGAGTCACAGTAAATGCTAGCACCTTGTGTCAAAGCATTGCTCACAGCATCATGGGTCAGGCCAAGTCCAGAACCTAAGTTAATAATAAAGTTGTCTACAAAATTATTCATAAACCCCACAGAATTCAAATAGTAATATCTCTCGTACAAAGTTTTAGGCAATGAAGAACTAGAAGCAGTGTCGACTTCTTCCTCATCATCTTCGTCGCTCCAATTATCTAAAGCTCTTATCTCTACCGCCGTCCAAGACTCTTCCGGTAAAACTCCAGAAGCTAACGCATAATTGGACTGCATTTTAAGTTCAACTTTTTTAGGAGTCGCAGCCTCTGTTATAGTTGAATATCCGTAGTCAGATTCTGTTTCACTGAATTCATTCTGTCTGCTACTTGAATTTGATCTATAACCAGAAGTTTCGGTGTCATCTCCTATTTCATTGGCAATTTTTAAATTATTTTGTTGTTTATTTACTGGATTAACGCTGCTAAGTCTTGTAGAATTTTTTAAGATTGATTTTCTGGATCGGTTTTGTACGTCAGTATTCGCATTCATTTTAGGTGCATCATTATTATTAATGTCATCCAAATTCTGTTCTTCAGTTAAAGGTGGTACATTAGTACACAGGATCTGACGTAGCTCATTGATGTTAGAGATATCTCCTTTTATAGCTTGTAGACTAACTTGTTTTATAGGTCCACTAGGTCTCCTACCATCTACAATTTCGATCGTATTTAATTCTACTGTTTTTGACGAAGAAATCTGTTCGGGAATTTGCAACTTTGATTGAATTTTACGTAACAGATCTTCTCCTTTGTAAACGTAATGAGAATCGTCTGATTCGAACGACTCTTTTTCTGAATCTGTGTAAATACTATCATCCATATTATGCTCCTCAATCGGATTTTCAACTTCTTTGTGTAAAGTGCTTTCTAAAACCTCCAATTTTTTCAATTTCACGTAACCTGTAAAGAAAGTTAAATATTTAAAATATACAATTTTGGAATTTAAAATTATGAAAGAAATGCAAAAAACATTGTTTTATATCTAGTAAATTATTTCTAAGTTCCTTTAAAAATTAAAACTCCATAACATGCTTACCTGGCTCTTTACAATCTTCTATACGTAATTTATAAAATGGAGCGTCAAGGACAGCGCTATAATCAGAGGTATCGCCTGGCTCGCTAGCTTCTACGTTATCATATATCACAAACAGCTTAGGCGCAACAAGTGGTTCCGCGGGATGGCCTTTCTTTCTTTGATAGCAAATATGCTCATGTACACATTCTTGCAAGCGGTCAGCAAAAAATACGTGCTTGTTCCGGCGCACCATAGCCTCGTTGATTGAATGCTCACGTTCGCTCATGGGATTATTTTTAATGTTTTGCGTTTCACTGAAAAAATAATATAATAATTAATGAAAACGTAATCTAATTACAGTTATCACGTTTTGCAGTCTCGTGACGCAATACGGCATCTTGCTTTATCGCCAAGATTAAATCAATAAAAAATCACCGCCAACAACAAAATTTGATAATCAATATACAAATTCTAGAAAATTGATTTTCAGTAATTAGTACGTCCGTATATATACGTGATATCGGTTATTGCGATCTTTTAATGTATTTAGATTAAATCATCATGAGGTATCGACGTTATAATTAATTAAAAATGAAATTATTGAACAATATTACCTATCCTTGACAACGAAACTTCAAATTAGTGTTTGAGTGGTCGTCGACGAACAATGTCGTTATGAGTAAATAGGGATTTACTACCACTAGCACAGGACCTACGTTTACTACACTATTCCATTGGGATATTGCGAGAGCAACAACAAGAACAATTTACAAAATGTGTGTTTTTTACGTTTCTTTGCACACAGAAAACAATAATACGATTTTAACATTGATATCCTAGTTATGGAGTTTTAACATTTAGAATGATCTCAATGTTAAAACCTAGTTCTATAATAAATCTATGAAGATTGAGATCTGGCATTTTTTCTAATTCGATTGGACGGACGAATAGTCCACTAAATATGGGGATTAAGCGGTTGACGAGGCCAAAAGTTGAAGCATCGAAGGAAAGTGATTGTAAGTGTAATAATTGAATCGCGATTCTTCAAAAAAATACTCTTTGTATGGATGACTACAAATCTCACTTCTCGAATATTATGCTTGAGATTAAATATGCGAAATGAATTAGTACGCAAATAACTGTAGATGTCAAATGAAAAGAAAGAAAAAAATGTATAATACGTACCTAAATATGAATTAAGGTTGTTAATAAAGGCTTCTTTATCTTTAACCTTCTAAATGAAAAACAAATTCAAAAAAATATTTATTTCTCGCTTTGTTGCTTTAATAAATATAACCTGTATTTTATATTTATGAGACAGGTACATAGCTTTCCCTTTTAACATAATAATATTATTCTTATAATCTTAATATGAAACGGCAATGTATTCTCCCTATCTATGATAATGAATATGGCATCGATATTCTGGCAATGATTCTGGATTATAAACAAAACATGATAAAGACAAGGACAGCTTACTAGACGTGGATCTCGATTGTGAAATATATAAACTATTTAGCTATTCATACGTCATGATAGCCTTAATTACTATTATAGTAATTAAAATAAAATAAAAATTTAAGCACAACCTAAAATTATGCTCACCTTTCGTAATTTTCAAAAAACTGCACGGATAGCAAAATGTTGTTGAGAAGGAAGGCATCAGAGTCATTATTCAATTGACGTCTCATTCGATCTATGGCATCCTCGTCATAGGACCTGATCTGAGGTGGTGGTGGCGCTGATGGTCCTGGCATCGGTGACGGACCAGGTATTACTGGCATCAACGGTGGCTCTTTAGCAGCAACCCGCCTGTTCGCCCAATTTGCATGCTTCTTTCTTTTCTCTCCGCGCTGTTGTTCCTTCCACCTTTCTCGCTCGAAAAATCTATCTGGTTCCTTTTGAGCTTTCTTTGACTTAGAATTCCCCATTTCAGTAAAATAAACTCCGAGACCAAAATTTTCGTTGCTAATTCTCAACTAAAAGGCTAAACAATATTTGAGCACATTATGACGTTTTAAAATATTGAAAAAAATGTCACGCACACCCAAAAATAATCAATAAATGAAAACAAAGAACGCTAACGTCCAGAACGTGTTTCTGAGCACAGCCGCAGTACAATACTGGTGTTTTTTTTTAAAGTGACTATTCATACATTTCTGCTTGGCCTGTTATCGGTAAGCGATAATACTTAAAAAACGTACAGTGATTTTTTTTTAGGTATTGCAACTGCATGGATACTAAAGAGTCGATGCACATTCTTCACTGTCGGCAATTCACTAGTACACATGTTAACGTGAATGTTCAACGAGCGTGGAAATCTGGAAAACCACGAACTAAAACAAACAACATTCCTTCTGTTCACGACTTGTTGTTATGTAACGTCATTCTGTATTACTTATTTAACATTTTTTTTAATTTAAAATTTAGCCGACTCGATGGGCAAAATGATATTCATTATTTTTCTGCATAATTTAACCAGCAAACACAAAATGATCAAATAAAACAAATTACAGTATAAAAATAGATTTATTATAACGTAAATAGACACAAATATCTCAAACGCCTCAAAGTACCTATTCTAGATTCGAGAAATAATATAAAAGAAAAATAATTAAAACAGAGCTTACAAAATTCCATGTATGGTGTCTTTCCGCTATCGGAAAACTCCGGACTATGAATACATTGAAAACTTTACAAATTGGATAGATATAAACAAGAACGGGTAGGGCATACAAAGAACAAATCTAACCTTTATTTCAAATTCTCCTTCTGCTTATAAATATACTATAACAGATTAATAGCAATTTCAGAAAACCACAAATTAACAGCGCTACTTCATAGTAATTACATAACTTAAACATATTTTCTTAATCCACTGTTTAATACCTTAATTACTTTAATGTCTAATTCTTTATTTTAACCAGTAACATTGTCGTTATTGTTCCATTAACTTTAGTTTGTTTTACATGAGTTAAATCACGTGCTCATCAATTATCAATTAATTGATCTATAAAATAGCGTTTCAATGTAATGCAATTTGGGATTGGAACATTTGATTACGCGATTAGTCCTACGTGACATTGCTTTAAGACTGAACTGCCGAAATAAATGAAAAGCAACGAATAATAACAAAATATATTTTTTTTAAATAAATAACCAGATAATCAAAAATGGACCAAATGCTACATGTATACTACTTGCTTACTGTATTAGTAGCTTAAAGCAAAAACAAAAGATGCTCCCGGCATATTGAAAAATGTTTTGGAGGTCCTCCTAAAAGAGTTTAAATTACGATCCCCATTATTATTTATTTATTTTTAATAATAGGTATGGGTTTACAAGATTATGTCGATTACAAATTTTTTTCATTAAATAAGGTTGCAGTTCCGGGTTTTAAATAAGTAAATAAATAAATACCAGCAGAACAAATAAATCAGAATAATTCATAATTAAAAAGCATGCTATATGCGACCTACAATTAGAAGAATTGTATCGACGAATTCTAAACATTATATATTTTCTACACAACTTCTTAGCTTGATAATTCAGAAACATATAGTACTGATCACTAAATGCTACACATGGACCTTTAGTCACACAATTAATGCGTTTATTTCATTTCAAACAATGTATTTGTATTATTACGTAGTCTTAGACCTAGATACCGGATTTAGTGCTTAGTGCAATAGTGATGACGTAAGGCGAGACTAGTCGATTATTTGTTTCTAAAGATCGCTGTGTTTTACATGCAAACCATTCAATTTTAAATTGCACACACTTCTTTAAGGTATAGTCGATAGTGCTTCGGCCGGTGGTAGACTTATGCCAGTCGCCTCCATGTTATGTGCTATACTAACTCCATCATTTTCATTTCGAACGTTGATTCGCCGTGGAGCCCTCCATCTTTTAGCTTCACCCATTTGCTTTGCAATAACTCGTCTGTAAAATTAAAATTTATATGAAAATATTGAATTCCAAGGAAAATCTAGATGCTGTAAAATTACTCATAATACAACATCGACTTATGGTTATAATATCTATAGGCCTACAACTGCTTGATATTTTGAATTGATAGATATTGCTTATATGCCAAAGGTTTTAAATGTAGTTATATATTTCCTAAAAAAAATCATTAAATATGTGATAATTAATCTATGGACTAAGCTTCGTAAGTGTTTACTACTATACTCAAATCGTTGATGCGACATATCAATTGCAGATAGATAACGCTAATAAATTAACAAAGAACCATAAAGGTGACTGCTTATTTCGTTGCTTCGATGATTCGATCAAATGCAGCTTAATTAATCAAAACGCAACAACCTCAGCGCCATTTATTTCGATGATTTGTAAATTACGATTTATTCTATACTAAGTAACTTTATCTTCTTAATCTGCAATTCCAAATATTTTTACGATAGCTATTCTCCGTACGCTTTATCTTTTCGTAGTACAATACTGTTTGGCAACGACAAAATCCCACTTAAGACCTACTTCCATTATCATTATTAGAGTTTTGTTAAAAACAATTCTTTCTAAAATTCCGATAACAATATGAGCGTGATTCAAGCGTAAACTTAGCCTATCCTGATTAATTTATTAACAATGAATGAAGGGAGAGCTTTGCTTAAAAATTCCATGTGCCTTCGAAGGACGTTATGGAGGATGCAGGTAGGAGGGGGTGTTACTGATTAAATAAAGCAGATTTTGTTGAATAAATGAAAAACGCGCGCCTGAATGTTGCGTGCGTGCAGTTTTGGCGCGTGCAATCGCTTCAGGTAGTCTTAGCCGACTACATAGATTATACACTTAATATTTAAGGCCGACTATATAATATGTCTTATCTATGTGACTGACGCTGCCTCGCTAGAAGGGCGGAGTCTGCGCGGGAGCACGAGAACGCTATGCACGAACCCGACCCGGCGATGACGTAGTTAACTTACTCACTGACGCACGCGCAAGCAACCTTAAATGGTTTTATTATGAAACACAATATTATTTGTACAAGAATCAAACTAATTCTAATTCTAAAAACTACGACTTGTACCGCGAGGCGCGTCGTCTACAAATCTCCGCCCAGTGTCACTTCAGTGACATTACTATCCTGTGGTAGTAGCGTCAAGCGAGTCACCGGTCTGGTGAATATTCCACTCCGCCTAACCCCACGTTATGAAGATTTCCATGGCTAGTGTTTTTATGTTAGAATAGCACTATTTAGTCAAACTCGGAGGGGGCTTCCCTCTCCTCCCCAGTTTGAGTCTGCCTTATCTCCGGCGTTGCGGCAAGAGCAGCCCTTGCGCCTTTGCGTGCGGAAGCACAGTCACTCATACTCTGCTCCACAGCTTCGGCTTGAGCAGCTGGCGAGGACTCTCCCTCCGCGCCGCCGGTTTTTTATATACAATCTAGGGGAAGGGCAGACCAGACCGTGTGGAAAGTGAGATGGCTTTGATTCGATTTAGGATATTTTTCGGATATTCATATAACGAAAATAGAACACGATTAATTTTATTACTGTTATATTTAATCTAATTTATAAAGATATTTAATTCTAGACTGACAAAAAGACGCTATAAAAAAATGCGTCATTTCACGTTTCATTTCGACAGTGTCAAAAAACTGTCGTTATTTTTTCTGTAAAATAATTAACAGAATTGCATAATACAGCAACAATTACTATGCACATTAATGTAATATGTAAGTATGTTAAAATAATAAAATATATTTCATAAAAAACATGTAGTAGGCAGCGGCTTGGCTCTGCTCCTGGCATTGCTGAAGTCCATGGGCGACTGTAACCACTTACCATCAGGTGGGCCGTAGGGCTCATAAGGCAATAAAAAAAGAAAAGAAAAAAAGACATAAAATTGAATAAAATACACCTCTACCGTGATGACAACTTACTGGTCTTAGGACCTCTTTTGAGTCCGCACGGGCAGGTACCACCGCCCCGCCTATTTCAGTCGTAAAGCAGTAATGCGTTTCGGTTTGAAGGGTGGGGCAGCCGTTGTGACAATACTGAGACCTTAGAACTATATCTCAAGGTGTGTGGCGCATTTACGTTGTAGATGTCTATGGGCTCCAGTAACCACTTAACACCAGGTGGGCTGTGAGTTCGTCCACACATCTAAACAATAAAAAAANGGCAGGTACCACCGCCCCGCCTATTTCAGTCGTAAAGCAGTAATGCGTTTCGGTTTGAAGGGTGGGGCAGCCGTTGTGACAATACTGAGACCTTAGAACTATATCTCAAGGTGTGTGGCGCATTTACGTTGTAGATGTCTATGGGCTCCAGTAACCACTTAACACCAGGTGGGCTGTGAGTTCGTCCACACATCTAAACAATAAAAAAAAATAAAAAAACTTGTGAGTTTTGACCTAGCACCATCGGTCTTTGGTCCTCGCTCGCTTGAAGCGCGAACATGTTTTTCAGTACACGAATCAAATGTACAATGTACTGGATAATTACATATTATTTCCCCTTCTTTCGATAGAAGTCCTTTTTCTTTCATCATTAACATGTGTGATTCGAATCTGTACCCCAAATAACATTTGTCTAATTGCGTAAAAACATCTACTTTCTGGGTAGGCAATGCTATTTTGGCAATAAGTATATCAATTGAATTTGTCAATACATCATATACTGTGTCTTATCTTTTTCTTTTTTATTCAAATAATTTATTAACTCTGTTAGCATCAGTGAGAATTGGTTACATAAATGCAATGTCACGAATAATTGACGTCATCTGAATACATTCTTCATCATTCTGAATATCTTAAAGATATTACAGCAATTCTGTTGTAATATCTTTAAATTTGGCGACATTTAAGTGTGTTTTCAGCTCCAACTATTGTGTGTAAATGCATGCAACTGCGGACTCTATAAATAACCATATAGTTTGACAAAATTGTACAATTTCTAACGGATCATGATCGTCATTGATAAGTTTGTATAGTTCTATGTAGGCAGCTTGCCTCGACAAAAAAAGGCTGAACCAGTTATATGTTTCTTTAACAATGAATTCGAGATTTCTGAATTAATATGTAAATCGTGCTAGTGGTGAGTTTGGTACCTCACCACTGACTGAAGTAACGAAGCTACTAGAAAAAATCACTATCCACTAAAATTAAAATTGGTGCGGTAAAAGGTAAATCTAAATCAGCAGATCTAGTACAAATTCCACTGAGCTGGCAACACTGTGCTAGACTCTAATACCGGTCACTCACATTCGCACGAATACGCAAACCCGCAAGTGTAAGACGACATTTGCAAATGATTATGCAAAGTTTTCGCTGCATTCGTGGTTTTCCAAGCTGTGTCGGTTTTTTAACAGACATCAAATCGCGCGAACCGCGATCCTTCGCGTAGTCTCCCACACATTCGTGTGACCAGTTGCGCCCAGGATTGCGAAGGCAACGGATGTTTCGCTATTTTCATAGATCGTGACGTCTACTGTGTAGCGTATCTTCATCAAAAGAAATCCCATAAAAACAGCATGGCTGTTAATGATGTCTGGGAAAGAATTCAAAACTCTTTTTCTCTTCAATGTTCTATTGACGAATTAAAAAGGAGGAGAAATTCGTGAGACATTCGTAAACAAGTGTAGGAGGAAGCGCAAACGNTCGTGACGTCTACTGTGTAGCGTATCTTCATCAAAAGAAATCCCATAAAAACAGCATGGCTGTTAATGATGTCTGGGAAAGAATTCAAAACTCTTTTTCTCTTCAATGTTCTATTGACGAATTAAAAAGGAGGAGAAATTCGTGAGACATTCGTAAACAAGTGTAGGAGGAAGCGCAAACGGGTTCGCAAATTGAGTACCGAACCCATTTGCAGAGCCGCTAAGTTTGCGAATGAATGTTTGACGGCCCCCCCTTTGAGTGGCCGGCATAAAGCACGCGGTCCGCACGGGAGCGCGGGAACGCAGTGCACGAACCCGACCCTAAAATGTCGAGCGAACGCCCTCGACCAAGCAACCGTGAATGGTTTTATTAAGAAACACAATATTATTTGTACAAGAATCAACTAATTCTAATTTTAAAAACTACGGACACAAACGTACTACTAAAATTTTAATACTTTACTATATTATTATATACTTTTAGAATCTTCTTTAAAATTTTTAATGTACACAGTTTAACTGAATTAAAGGCAAGAAGAAGTAAATATGTTCAGGGTCCTAAAAATTTAAAATACAAAAGAAAATCGAATACATTGGCTTTTGAAAGTCGTAATTCAGAAGATACCTAATTGGTTATCATTTTAAGACTGCATACATAAAATGCGATACCACCTTTCCACGAATTACAGCCAATAATCACATTACGTCGGTAATCAGTACGTACCTAATATTTTCAAAAGATAAATCAGTTTCATGAAATTAAGTAAATTAAAAATTAATGCCGCGTTTATAGCGCCCCTTTGTTAGCGGTACGAAATAGAAGCGTGGCGATGCGTAGCGTAATGTTGGTTTTATTTCACCCGTAGCACCCATAATTATCATTTAACTCGGCTTCAACACGAACGTTTGTGCACTATATACCAAATTCGTGTTCAAAGTTGCACACAAAAGAGCTAAGTTGTACCATTGTTTCCTCATACCATATAACAATATTTTTTCTAAAATACTACAATTAAAACAACCAAATATGAAAATTACTGATCATCTTATTTTATATTCCTGAACTTAGTTAAATTTCAAAAGTAACCTAAACGATATATCTATATAAATTTATTACATCTGACAAAACATGATTTAACAAATAATAAACATGTGTTTAGAAAATTTTAATGATTCATAAACAATTAAGCAAAACATTATCAATCATAAGGTAGAGTTGATTAAAAACTAAGATAAAAACTAGCGCCATTGTTTTGTGATCGATTTTTAAAATACGTCACTGGCTAAATGTAGAAAGTACGATCAATGATAAAAATATAATTGACATTAATGTAACGTATAATTAAAAAAAAAAAACAACGTAGGCTTGTGAGTAGATGAGCCGAAAACCAAAATGAATAAGCTGCTTCACGGCAGAAATAGGCAGGGTGGTGGATGGAACCTACCAGTACGGACTCACAAGATGTCTTACAACCAATAATTACGTAAATAAAAATGCGGGTTAAAACTGTTTCAACCGTTAAAACCGGGGTAACATTATGTTATTATGTTGTTCCTTCACTGTGGAAATCAATCGTGAACGTTGTTAAAGTACGTATTTCATTGGATAAATTGATAGCTGCCTGTGGGATTCGAACACCGGCAGAGTTGCATCGCGACTCTGAAAACGGTACCTGGAACCTAATCCATACATAAACCCACTGAGTTTCTCGCCGGATCTTCTCAGTGGGTCCCGATTCCCATCCGGTAGTAGATGAGTCCGCGAATCAGCTGCCATTGAGCTGTTACGTCTCCTTCGGAGGTGCTGTGGCAGCTTATCCCACCCCTCGTTAGCAATCCCGTTAGCAAATCCCGCCCCTCCTGACTGAGCCTTTGCTCGCCCACCAGTTCTGATGAAACTGGAAAGGCCTTCGGGCCACCAGTAATACTTTCTCTCTAAAACTTGAACGGTAGGCAGCGGCTTGGCTCTGCACCTGGCATTGCTGAAGTCCATGGGCGACGGTAACCACTCACCATCAGGTGAGCTGTATGCTAGACTGCCGACCCCGATCCAAAAAAAAATCTTCGTGCTTTAATTAAATTTATCTACTATTTTAACAAATGTGTCAGTAATCAAACTTACTGTTGTCTGCAATCAATAAGTATTCCCAAGACGAAGACAACAACTATAGCGACGATCATAACAACGGTGAATCCAACAATAGCTGCTACCGTCAACGTGGGAACTTCTTCTGTTATCACGACCTCCTCGGAAATCGATAGCTTGGGATCCGCTGTATCAGCAGACAACTCTGAAATTAATTTCAAATTACTTCGTGAAAAAATTTCTGTTGCTTTTTTTCTTTTTTTATTACTTAAGATGTTTAGATAAGCTCACGGCTCACCTGGTTTTAAATGTTTATCGGAACTCATAGACTTGAACTACGTTAAAACCGCCACACATGAGTAAGTCTCGATTTTCTAGTACAACGGCTGCCCCACTTTTCAACCCGAAACGCATAATTGCTTCATGGCAAAAATAGGTGGGTTGGTGGTACCTACTCCTGAAGGTCACACACAAGACGCCACCAATACCAGGATTCCAGGACAAACTTTTTCAAACCTAAGTGACCTTAATGAGATTTGTACTATGCAATATTTCCAGTAATATATTTTGTAATGATAAGGGTGAATCTTTATTATTTCGATGATAGCAATAATAATGATGTGTTAACACACACTTAAACAAGTGTATAAATTTATAATGCCTACATAGGTATTGAATATTTTTCCTCAAGCTCGCGTATGGAAGAACGTGGCCAACTTCCCCGATTGCAAAAATGATATACCTACATGTACCTAGTCCAGCCATAAGTTCTGTTACAAATGAAAATGCATTTTTTAAATGATATAATGTAATATTATTAAAATGTATACCCATTTATTTATTAGTCTCAACAAAAAAAAAACTATTCGAAATTACCACCTTTGGATTTTATACAGCCCTGCTTGGCCATGAATTTACGCACTGTTTCCAAGAGAAATTTCGCCACTGCTTGCTCCAGAGATTTTTAAGAGACTCAATGTCGCCGTGTCGTTAAGAACAGGGCGTGTTCTCTAAAACTGACCATAATTTGAAGTCTAAAGGGTTGAGGTCTGAGCTAGATGAGGGCCAGTCTTCAGTTCTTATAAAGTCCGGAAGTTGGTTTCCTTCACGCTTGGGTAGTTCGTGCCTTGTGACCAGGTGCAGAGTCCTGCTGGAAAGTCCACGGTATATTTTTAAATAGTGTATTGCTGAGAGGTTTCACAACATGATCCAAGACTGTATCTTTATACGCTTTTGCTGAAGTTTTCACTCCTTTTTCACAAAAATATAGTTTTGTGACTCCTTGATAAGACACACTCCACCAAACCATCACTGACGCAGGATGATGACCACGTTGTACCTTTCCGGCCACTTGAGCAACTTCTTTAGAAATGTGATCGTACACTTTACCATTTTGCTTATTGTAGTTTTCTTCAATAGGGAATTTTTTTTCATCGGTAAAGAGGATATTTGTGTGCCGTTCACCTGCGTATCGCGACAGAAGGCGTTTTTATCAATCCACTCTCTTTAATTGTAAAGATTGATTTAGGGCATGTTCTGTATATCGACGACAAGCAGCGAGCTTCAAGTCTTGTTTTTTAATATGCGACAGAGTCCTAGCGGGAATCTTCATTTCTCGCGATAAGATTTTTTGCTTCCTAATGTGGTTTCGACGAATTCTGGTTTTAGCATCATTAACAGCCTTTGTAATTCTAAAAGCACGCAGCCGCCCTAATCTTTTCTGATCTTCGACGAAGAGACGAAGTATTGTTGTTTATGTTGATAGTACGATATACGAACATAAATCTGATACCAAGCTTTTGAAGTGTCTGGAATATGACCGACGGCTCCATACCCACTTCATGCAAAGCGATCACCGCAATCCTATTTTCTTTAACACCCCATTCCATATTGTCATTTGATAATGAACACGAAAAATATGTGCAATGGCACAAAATCGAAAGAAGTTTTTAAACGTTAATACGTGTTCCAAATTCAAAATAACTAAAAAGTAAAAAAAAGAAAAGTTAAGTAAAGCTACCTATGTAATAAATAGTATTTATGGCCAGACTGGTTATATGTATGTATATATGTATATGTTGGAACGAATATCAAAACCCAGATGTAATTAAATTGTAAAAATAAAAAGAGACTGATCTTAACCTGAATTGTTTATTTGATACAAAACAAGACTAGGATTATGAATAAGTCTAATTTTTCAATACTATCACTTTAAAATAAATAATAATTTAGGCCACGACGACTTCAGAATAATCTTCTTTACTTACATAGGTGTACACGCCGCAGTCTGCGTTTTATTATTATATAATATATTATTACGTATATTCATGATAACATTGAAAACGTTCAATTAAATACAAAATTCCAAGAATGGTCCTCAACGGCACTGGATTAAGCTATCACATTTTTACTTACTTTACTTAGTACATCATACTGATTTATACACGCTGAGGGGAATCCTTTCTTATTTATCGTATTCGAAAAACAGAATTATGATAAAGTGTTTATATTTGCAATCTTAAAGATAATAAAATATATAAATCATTCTAATCATCTTTTCAAAAGATTCGAACAAAATCATACCTTTTTCTAACCATAACACACTGCCTCTAACCTGGTCCATTTTTTTAATTGTTGTAGAATGGGAATCACGTACTCTGAAAAAAAAAAAAGAAAATCAGTAAACCATTTGAAAAAAAAAAGATTTATCAAATTAATTATTAATTCCTAAAGATTTGTGATCAAAAAGCAAATAAACTATCTAAGCTCTCATTTATCTCCAATCTGCGGCGTTTTTTCCAGTAGAGGATATCATGGTTAGCGTGATTACTGAAGCTAGTAAACAGCAGTTTGAAGTATTAGTTGCATTTAAATAACGAATAATTTAATTATCAAACTGAAACGCTTGAGCAACTGGTCTTGATCAACAACCCACAATTCTTCTTCTACATTTCGCCCTTACCCCACATTATGTGGGTTCAGGCAATAGGTCCTCTTAACGTGCTCCCTAGGAAATTGTATTGAATTATAACATGAATTAATATATTTTTTAATTAAGAAGTCCCCACCCAATTAAACTTAATTTCAATATACGATAATATAATATAATTGTTGTAAGCATATGTGTCAAACTCTCAATAGTATTAGATTTAAACAATACGTTTTTTTTTATTGCCTAGATGTGTGGACGAGCTCACAGCCCACCTGGTATTAAGTGGTTACTGGAACCCATAGACATCTACAACGTAAATGCGTCACACACCTTGAGATATAAGTTCTAAGGTCTCAGTATAGTTACAACGGCTGCCCCACCCTTCTAACCGAAACGCATTACTGCTTCACGGCAGAAATAAGCGGGGCGGTGAGACCTACCCGTGCGGACTCACAAGAGGTCCTACCACTAGTGAATTACTACGTAAGTACGTATTTCATTAGAAAAATTGGTACCCGCCTGCGGGATTCGAACACCGTTGCATCGCTATATACGAATACACCGGACGTCTTATCCTTTAGGCCATGACGACTTCAAAACTCTACCTACCACTACTAGTAAATTTCAGTTGGTGATCTCAGTACGCTGGTATAATATAATACTCAGAGCATATTGTTACCTATTCTCTGGTGCCCCATTAGTCGCCTTCTACAATACCCACGATCGCCGCTTCTATTTAATTTATCTATAAACGACATTCCCCGGTCGCCGCCGACCCAGTTAGCCTTATTCGCCGACGACACGACCGTTTACTACTCGAGTAAAAACAAGTCCCTAATCGCGAGGAAGCTCCAGAGCACAGCGTTAACCCTGGGACAATGGTTCCGAAAATTGCACATAGACATCAATCAACCCAGCGAAAAGCACAGCAGGGTTATTTCAAAGGGAGCAATCTCACACCCCCGATTACCCTCCTCGGCCAACCCATACCCTGGGCCAGGAAGGTCAAGTACCTGGGTGTCAGCCTAGATGCATCCATGACATTCCGTCCCCATATAATATCCGTCCGCGACCGTGCCGCGTTTCTTCTCGGCAGACTCTACCCCATGATCTGTAAGCGGAATATAATGTCCCTTCGGAAAAAGGTGACACTTTACAAAACTTGCATATGGCTCGTCATGACTTACGCGAGTGTGATGTTCGCTCACGCGGCCCCCACACACATAGACACCCTCCAATCCCTACAATCCCGCTTTTGCAGGCTAGCCGTCGGAGCTCCGTGGTTCGTGAGGAGCGTCGACCTACACGACGACCTGGGCCTCGATCAATCCGGGAACAGATGAAGTCAGCGTCGGAACGATACTTCGATAAGGTTATGCGTCATGATAATCGCTTTATCGTTGCCGCCGCTGATTGCTCCCCGAATCTTGATCACGCAGGTGCCAGTCACCGTCGACGCTCTAGACACGTCCTTACAGATCCATCAGATCCAATAACCCTTGCACTAGACACTTTAGCTCTTGCACTAGGAGCGAGGCCCGGGTAACCCCTCCCTCCTGACTGAGCCTTTGCTCGACACCTACCCTTGTCGAGTACGTACCCTACGTACGTACTACCCTGGTAAAACTGGAAAGGCCTCTGGGCCACCAGCAAATTCTCAAACATAAAAAAACCACGAGAAGAGATGGGGTGGTGCTGTTCTAGACCGATACCACACAACTAGATTTATGGCTGTCTTATTGATATAATTATTGTAACTAGTCTGGCCATAAATACTGTTACGTAAATACTTTTCTTTTTTTCAATTTTTTAATTGTTTTGAATTTGGAACACGTATAGGTACGTACAAAATATATAAATATAAAACATAAAAACTTCTTTTAATTTTGCCCCATTTCACATATTTTTTCATTATCAAATTACAATATGGAATGGGGTGTTAAAGAAAATATAGTGATCGCCTTGCACAAACTGGGTATGGAGCCGTCGGTCATATTCCAGGCAGTTAAGTGGGCATGGAGCCGTCGGTCATATTCCAGGCACTTTAAAAGCTTTAATCAGCCGTATGTTCGTTTATCGTACTATTAACAGATACAATACTTCGTCGGTCGAAGACCAGAAAAGATCGGGGCGCCTATGTGCTGTTAGAACTACAAAGGCTGTTAATGATGTTAAAGCCAGAATTCGTCGAAACCCCATTAGGAAGCAAAAAATCTTATCGCGAGAAATGAAGATTCCCGCCAGTACTCTGTCGCGTATTAAAAAATAAGACTTGAAACTCGGTGCTTGTCGTCGATATACAGGACATGCCCTAAATCAATCTTTACAATTAAAGTGAATGGATCGATCAAAACGCCTTCTGTCGCGTTACGCAGGTGAAAGGCACAGAAATATTCTCTTAAAAAATTCACACTTGAAAAACACTACAATAAGCAAAATGGTAAAGTGTACGCTCACAGTTCTAAAGAAGTTGCTCAAGTGGTCGGAAAGGTACAACGTGGACATCAACCTGCGTCAGTGATGGTTTGGTGAGGCGTGACTTATCAAGGAGTAACAAAACTATATTTTTGTGAAAAAGGAGTGAAAACTTCAGTAAAAGCGTATCAAGATACAGTGTTGGATCATGTTGTGAAACCTCGCAGCAATACCCTATTTAAAAATATACCGTGGACTTTCCAGCAGGACTCTGCAAGACTGGCCTTCATCTAGCCCAGACCTCAACCCTTTAGACTTCAAGTTAAGGTCAGTTTCAGAGGACATGATCTGCTCTAAACGACAAGGCGACATTGAGTCTAAAAAATCTTTGGAGCTAGCAGTGGCGAAATTTCCCTTGGAAACAGTGCGTAAGTTCTTAGATTCGTGGCCTAACAGCTTAAAAGCCTGTATAAAAATCAAAGGTGGCAATTTCGGATAGAATATTTTTTTCGTTTTTAGCTGAGACTTTAATAAATATACAAGTATAAGTTTTAATAATATTACATTACTACATTATTGAAAAAAAGCATTTTCATTTGTAACAGAACTTATGGCTGAACTAGGTAGATGATGTTTATGCACAGGCTCATACAAATATTAGTAAATGATTGTACTGTTACATTTAAAAAAATATTTCTGTTAAAGGAAAACTGCTAGAAGGTCGATTGCACTTTTTTATTAACAAAATCATTGACATCCGTTTCGATTTCAAGTATGTAGTCAATAAATACGTGACCGATTAGCGCATCCCTATTGTAGGTGTTTCATGTTAATCGATGTGCACGATAATTATTATTAATTAGCTGTTATCAATCGATAACATTAATTTTATCATAGACCTTCAGACGTCAAGCTATTAAAGACGCATTTCCGCTCTGAATCGTCACTTTACATAAATTTCAACAGTTTCTAAACAAACGTATTCCTCAATTTTAAGATGGTTATATTCGAAAAAATCGGTGTGATAATTTATTATTAGGACTTTGACGTTTTGAAATTCTCAATCGCGGTAAAAAAATATATAAAAAAGAATGTGCATATAATATTATAGATTTTATCAAGTCTTTGTGTACAGAAAAACATTTCTGGGAACCGTATTCATTTCCGTGACGTAAAACAATTAAAGATTGCCGATACAGGAGCCCCGAATTATTATTGGTAATGGGTAGCTGCGATTGCTAATCATTTCATATCTGATTTAGATGTTCAATGATTATTAATGATACATTGTTATCTGCCGCAATGAGCTTTTTTACAATTATCCTACGAAGAATCTGCCCGTTTTAGTCTGAACGATTTTGCATCTCTGCATTAGCGATTTACATACTCTTTCTAATAGACGCGTTTTCTACCATGCACAGAGTGTGAATGTTTAAAGTCACAAATAGTCCGGTGTTTTTTTTTTTCAGACAGTAGTCTGACTTTTCCGTCACTGGTGGCGAGCTCACTGGGGCTCAGCCCGAGAGACGTAATGACGCTGCCAAGCATCACAGCCACCTAATAATCGGCAGCGACATGTTGATTTGTACAAGAAAGACAAGACTCTTCGCATGCAGTGCCCCGATCCATTAACGGTGCCTTTAGGTACCACAAGCACCGGTCACCGTCCTCGTCGAACCCGTCGCTTGCGACGAAGGGCTCGACAAGCGAATTATCCCACAGACACAACCCACTGAGTTTATCGCCGAATCTTCTCAGTGGGTCGCGTTTCCGATCCGGTAGTAGATTCTGCGAAGCACTGCTCTTGCTAGGGTCAGTGTTAGCATCACTCCGGTTTGAGCCCCGTGAGCTCTACCTACTAGCTAAGGTTACGCTGAAATAGCTTCTCAAGGCTATTAGCCTAGGTAGGAAAAAAAAATGCAGTGCAAACCGCAAGCCTATGCTCCGCCGTCTCCAAGTCGCATTACTGCAATGGCACTCTGCTGTTGGGTCAGCTCCTATCCGGAGCTTCCCAAGCATCCATGCCGATCAGTCAGTCGGTACCTGGCTCAGACCGATGAAGAGCCTTCCTGGGTCTAATCTAATATTGCGCGCTCGATTAATCAACCTACGAACATAACTACGTAACTACAAACGTAACTAGACATCCCCTCCCCTCGTCAGTTTCGTCACCATTTTAATAGTAGATAATTATATTTTAGTGCAAAAACACCGAAAGAAATGAATCAAATAGGTGATTAGAAAAAATTGAGGATTAAGATTATGGTCATACTTATTTAAGTAGGTGTGATAAAAAAAAACAATCTGAAA